GACTTCCCAGAACCTGTACACTGTATGGATTTTTAACAAACACAGTCTAAAATCTATTGAGAAAAAAGAAATAAAGAAATTAACCTGTTGATGAATTCTTCGTAGCAGGAATAAATGGCTGCTAGGCAGACGGCAACAAGATTCGGAAGGACCCGTGGGTGTGGACACTGGCCGGTCGGGCCGTGCATACTGGAACGACAGGAAAGGGATGTCAGATGGTGTGTCCACAAAGAGCATTGTTAAGGAAGGAGCAGGCACAAAGACTAATAAAAGAGAACATTTGTAGCTCAGGGTTGAACTATGAGGTCCTTGGTGCCTTTGAGATCGTTCGTTTTCTTTGCAGATGTTTCATGACCCAACTAGGTAACATCATCAGTGACAGACGGGAGGAGGGTTTGCAGGGAGGAGGGGAGGAAGAGGACTATGGGGCCCAGAAGGGAGGAGGGTTTGCAGGGAGAAGGAGGAGGGACTATGGGGTCCTTGGTGCTCTCTGAGCTTGGTGGTTCTCTTGCAGATGTTTCATTACCAAACTAGGTAACATTCTCAGTATTAGAATGGAGTGGGGTTTGCTTGGTAGGATAATGATATATCGGCAAGAAAACCATCAAACCACCAAGGACCTCACAAATCCTAAATCTAATCCCCCTGACTTGGTTCCACAGGGATTGCAGAATGGCCAGTCGCTTTGGAAATAGTATTTTCTTTTAATTTATACTTATTAATGTTTTAGATTTGTCATCCCAGGTAACAACTGCATTAGCATAATAATAAAGAAGAGAGTACTATGGTCTGTGATGCATTCTACTAGTTGTTAGTATATTATGGTGTTTATTTGCTTCAATCGGCTTTTGTTCTTTTTAATTGTTGCCGGTCATCAACCAAATAAACATTGATTGAGTCACTGATGAATGGAAACGACACACAGCAAAAGGTGTGGATCCTGCTAGGATGAGAAGGTTTGCTAAATTATAGGTCAATGTTGAGAAGAAACACCCTTCTTTATCCAAAAGGTGCTTTTTCAAAAGGCAACTGGACTTTGCTCTCACTTCCCATCTTCTTCAGTTCTGACTGAATGGTGAGGAATGGAAGGATCTATATACCTTGAAGTCATCTGGTTGTTAGCACTCTCTCTGAGAGTCACTGGGGCCACTTGGAGGTTTCTCTGTGCCCTGAAGGTCACCTGAATAGGTGGGCGTGGGACCTTCTTGGCGCTTCTAAAAGGATTGTGTTGTAAACAGGAGATAGGTAGTGTCGTATCCCCACCCCTTCTGTTGAGAGAGGGCTGCTCAATCTTAATGTAGATGGCCTCTTTCAAACCTTAAAAGAGATCGTACTTGAGAGACCGCCTCCTGCCAATTACCTCTCTGCGACCAATTAGATCACATAGATTAGGCCTCCTCCGAGTTCCA